GGGGGTGTTTGGATAGGGAAAAAAAAAGGTGTTTATTGTTTATTGCTTATTCCCACTATAATAAATTAAGTTTAAGTGTTTGGATGAAAATTCTTAAAAATCAGCTTATTTTGATGCTTATTGTTTATTCTGCAAAATAAGCTAATAAATAATAAGCATGGTTTTCCACCAATGAAAACGAAGCTAGTAACTCGATTTTTCTGACTCAAAGTCTCTCATTCACGGTGAATATCCAAGTAGTTAAAGCTCGATTTCACTTGGAAGATGGTTATGACGTTTACGAAGAAACCAAAAAACCTTGTTTCTTTTATCGTCTCTCATCCCCTCAACAAATTCAATGCTACCTACGCTACTCATTCCCAACTCCTTCCATTCAGAAATCCTTCATCATTTTTACAATCAGGAACCGGAACCCTTACCCCCAAAACCATTTCAGCTCCATTTCATTCAACGTCACTTTCCAATGGTCAAACACTAGCTAATCATCCTCAGAAGATTACTAACCTTAATGATGCCCTCCAACTGTTTGATGAAATGACACAGAGACAACCTCTGCCGTCAGTTGTTAAATTCAACCAGTTGTTGCCAAAATTAAGATTTATTCTTGTTCTATTGATCTTTTTAAACAAATGAATGTCGTTCGTGTTCCTGTTGATGTGTATACTATTAACATTGTGATAAAGTTTTGTTGCCAAATGCACTGCACGAGTGAAGGATTTGCAGTCTTGGGCTATGGATTCAGACGTGCTATATTACCAGATGTATGCATGTTTAACACACTCTTAAATGGACTTGTTCTAGAAGATAGAATCCTCAATGAAGAAAAATTATTCAAGAAGCTGATCAAAGAAGGAGTTTGTGAGCCTAATGCAATTATGTACAACACTATGATTAAAGGGCTTTGCAGATTTGGTAATAATGATGCAAACGTTGCTTTGCTTAAACTAATGGAGGGAAGAGGTTGTAAACCTAATGTGGTCACATATAGCATCATCATTGATAGTCTTTTTAAGGACAAAATGGTAGATGATGCTTTAAACCTTTTCCAAGAAATGGTCTTCCACAAAGGCATATTACTTGTTGTTGTCACTTACACCTCTTTGATTCATGGCCTTTGTAACTTATGTCATTGGGATGATGTCTCTAATTTTCTCAAAGAGATGGAGGACCAAAGTATCTCTCTAGATGTTTGGACCTATAGTATATTAGTTTATGCACTTTGCAAGGAAGGGAAGGTGGAGGATGCAAATTGTATTATCAACTTAATGATTGAAAGAGGGATAAATCCTAATATAGTGGCTTACAGTTCGCTTATTGATGGGTATTGTTTGCGAGGTGAAATGAGCAAAGCAAAGAAGTTTTTGATTACATGGGGTCTCAGAGGGGTCTCAGAGGTCTGGTGGTGCCTAATGTCGTTACTTATAGTAGTTTATTGAATAGATATTGTAAGAAGTTGATGATAGAATAGGCCATGGATTTGTTTCATGAAGTAACTAAAAAAGGTGGTATGCAACCGAATGTGATCATTTACAACACCTTGTTACACGGATTGTTTCAAGTTGGACGTTGTGAAGCTGCATGCAAACTCTTTAACGAGATACAAGCACGCAAACTGATTCCAGATGAAAGCACTTACAGAATAGTCTTGAAGGTTCTATGCAACAACAAACAAGTGGATGAAGCACTAACTTTATTTCATCTGAAAGGGGCGAATAAGATAAAATCGGATATTGCTATATATAATATACTCATTGATGGTGCAAGTAAAAATGGGAAGTTTGATATTTCAAAGATTCTTTTTAATCAGCAAATTGTTAAAGGTTTGCAACCTGATATTTGGACATATAATGCGATGATTGGTGGCTATTTTCGGGAAGGTCTTGTGAGGGAAGCAAAAGGATTGATTCTTCAAATGGAAGGAAAAGGCTACCCGCCAGATACTGTGAGTTACAACATTCTTCTCTAAGGAATTATAAAGTATGTTCATCATGACATGGTAGATATGCTTTTGCTGGAAATGGAAGGAAGAGGCTTCTCACTTGATGCTTCAACTGTAGCAATGTTACTTGATCAAGGTTAGATCTTTAGATGCTTCATTGCTTAAGTTGATTGGTAAGCTTGTGCCAAAGGAAGGAGTGGATGCTCCTTGTTTTATTATGTAGATGTCATCTTGGTTTTCTAAAAGGTATGGTTTTGGTCATCGTTGGTCTGCAAGTTTGTTATCATTTAGTTATTTCTGATTGCCAATATCAAGTTCATCATTATTATGGCTTGTTCTTCAGGGTTTCTTTTTACTTTTTTCATCTTGCGCCACATTTATGTTCAACTTATGCAGCGTGTTTATGTTACTTTTTAATATCTACTCAATACTTATTTAGTATCAATAACTGTTTCTCAAAATTAATGAAAAGCCTACAGAACCATAAGCTCAAAACAAAATAAGCATTTGGTGTTCCAAGATAATTTTCATATTTGTATTGATCATTTAAACATACGTATTAAAATGTATTTAATTCTTTGCATAAAAAAATACAATATTCCATTGTGAGACGTCAAATTAGTTGCACTTGTCATTCTTTCTATTTGCAAAATTTGAAGTAAAACCTTTTCATTTGTATCCATCGAACAGGTTTAAGTATGAAGTTTACATACAAGATAACATAAAACCACTTTTTGGTATTCCCATAACAATATGAATCACCTGTTTTTGTAACTTCTAAATAACCATTTTGCAAGATCAAATTGTTGGTTCTTGGATCATATTGACAACAAGGAAATGGTTCAACTTACTTTCTTGTAACTTTTTAATGTTAATCTTAAGAAAAGAACCGAGTTCCATATATCCTTGACAGCTACATGGTGTTCAGCTATACTTTGATTGCACTTAAAAAAGAATTAGGGATGCATTCAAAGTAAAATGAATAATAAATGATTGCATTAAAAATTTAACTATGGTTGATTCAATGAAGAAGCTTTCAGTGTTACTGTTTTCTCAAGTTTGGATAATACAAAAATACATCAACTGAAATGCTATTTAATGTTGATGTTTATAATTCAAGGTAAAAATGTTTGAGAAGCAAAAAGAAAAAAAAAAAAAAAAAAAAAAAAAAAAAAAAAAAAAAAAAAAAGGTTAGATATTTCAGTAAAAAAAAGGTTATCATTGTTCCTCAAAGTTTGATTTAATTTTGGGTGAAGAACGATGCACAAAATGTAGATGTTAATAACATCTAGGGAGTAAATAATTATTGTGAATTAATTCACGTATTGCAGTAAAAAAAGATTAATGTTGTTGTTCTTCAAACTTTAACTAATAAGTTATCCAGGGATTTTAGAAGAAAAAAAAAAGCAACTTAAAATCGGTGCTTTTAAAATGACAAAATTTTAAAAAAAATAATAAATAGACCACAAGTGTGAAGGTCAACAAAATCCAATGACCATTTACGTATAAAATAAAAACTAGACGGATAAACGATAAATAGAGTTAGCTGGGTATTGTTCATCAACTCCTCTCACATAAGTTACTATTTATAAACTAAAACCTTATAATATAACTTCAACTATGATGAGATAACTTTCCCTATATTAAGATATCTTTATACTAATAAAAGAGTAGTTCTTTTGCTATGTGTCATTATATTAGACCTCTTAATTAATGTGTTGTCACTTGTCAATCTATTAGTTATCCATTTTAAATTTATTAAACCTTCTGATTAATGTGATGCTATTGTCAATGTATTTATTCTCTATTTTAAATTTTAAATTTTATATTATTGTTTTCATTAATTCACAAATAAAAAATATATCTAATATATATATATATATATATATATATATATATATATATATATATTAAAAATTAATTTTACATATTATTTGAATCAACGATTATAGTTTCACATAAATAATAAAAAAATCTCTTAAATTAATAATTTATTTAAAATAACTTATTGAAATTTTGAGTTTTTATTATAAAAGTTTGATTAATTTTATAACCGTGGTTCCCACGGGTTATAAACTAGTTAATTAATATATGTATCCAATTGATGATGAAGTGATAATTGTTGCTTTATAAATGGTTGATATGAAAATATAGTTGAGATCAGGTGCATTGGGACATTGTAGTATTACGAGATAATTTCCATATCTTCGGATATTAACCAAATCCAACTGATTATGAACTCATACTGGTTATTTTAAAAATGTTTTGTATAAAGGGAGCTGATTCTTCCACTGATTTTTTTTATTCATCCACATAATTTGTTACCTAATGGACGGTTATACCCTTTATTTAAATAGATAGTGTATTTTAGATTTTAATTGTTACACGTCTTCTTTTATGCGCGCAACCAATTAACACTCCTTCTTCCTCATGACGTTCCTTCCTACTTTGGCACTTCAATCTTCAGCCGACGTATACGTTTTGCAATCTTCGTCCCTGTAAATGTGTTGAAGGACCAAAATGCAGTGATCGGAGAGTCCACGTTTCTTAACACGACTAGTTAGTAACATATTCCCATCACCGGTCACTCCACTCGACTATAAGGTTTACATTTACCGGGAAGACAGCCGTCCAAAACTGCATCATCGGAGCTCCGAAATGCTGTCACGTAAACTTCACAAATAACTTCTCGTCCGACTTGGTAATTTCACACACTTTTGGTTCGAGAAAGTCGGGTTACTTCAAGACCAGTGTACTGGTAATGGATCTGAGAACATGGAGAAAAGGAAAAGTCCGCTGGAAAATTGAAAACTGTATGGAAATCACGAGGAAACGGAGGATATACGAATTGGGTTCATAGGAGCAACATGGGTTCGAAGGGGAAAAAGTGACGAACAGTTGCCGGCTGTATTCCGTTCCGATGAGTTTATCACATTGCAACTTTGAAGGAGGAAGATTGAGCTATTTGTGGTTGTGCGTCGTGTTTGGAAAGAGAATCAAATCAACTCCCAAAAAAACCTTGGAATATTTAATACATTGTATAATTAAGTTAGGGGCATAATGGTCAATTACTAGCAAAAGTATGTGGATCGATAAAAAAAAAAAGCTGTGGATTTATCAGCTCCCTTGTATAAAAAGTCGGTGGTTATATACAAATTAAACAGGACATTCTGAAAATATAATATCTTTACAATATAACGCCTACATATTATATTGTTAGATCGTTATAGACAAAAACACCCCTGCAGGTTTTGTACAAAATTAAGATTCCTAAAAAATACACGCAACCGGTTTAGTCCCTCATGCAGGTTTAAGCAAATGAGGATGGTCGAGTTAATTTTTAAAAATAGGAGTAAACGTCACGAGAGGGACGATTCTTGTAATATTTTTTTTAACCCAGCTTACACTGATAAAACAAACGAGTTCAATAATACGAGTTCTTCCGTTCATCGTTGTAGGCCAGTCCCTTTTAATGGTGAATCCAAGTAGTCGAAGCTCGCATTTGAAGATTGTTTTGGTGCTTCCAGCGAAACCAAAACACGTTGTTTCTTCTGTCGTCTCTCATACCCTCAACAAGTTCAAAGATACATCCATTGCTCATTCCACCCTCATTTCGTCATTTTCACAATTTGGCACCGGAATTTTTACCCCCAAAACGATTTCAGCTCGGTTTCTTTCAACATCTTCTTGTAATCGTCAAACACCGGTTAATCATTCTCGGTCTATAAGTGAGAAGATTACTAACCTTGATGATGCCCTCCAACTGTTCGATGAAATGACTAAGAGGAAACCTCTTCCCGCAGTTTTCAAATTTACCGAATTATTGCAAGCTGTTACCAAAATGAAACAGTATTCTTGTTCGGTTGAGCTTTTTAAACGAATGAATGCCCTTGGTGTTCCTGTAAATGCCTACACTATTAGCATTGTGATCAAGTGCTGCTGCCAAATGCACTGCACAAATGAAGGATTTGCAGTCTTAGGCTATGGCTTCAAACACAATATATTACCAAATGTCTGCACCTTTAGCACCCTCTTAAATGGACTTGTCCTAGAAGATAGATTCTCAAAGCCGAAAGGTTATTCAAGAAGCTGATCAAAGAAGCACTTTGTGAACCTAATGCAATTATGTACAGCATTATGATTAAAGGACTTTGCAAATCTGGTAACAATGATACAGCCATTGCTTTGCTTAAACTAATGGATGAAAAGGGTTGTAAACCTAATGTGGTCACATATAACACCATCATTGATAGCCTTTGCAAGGACAAAATGGTAGATGATGCTTTAAACCTCTTCAAAGAAATGGTCTTCCACAAAGGCATATTACCTGATGTTGTCACTTACACCTCTTTGATTCATGGCCTTTGTAACTTGTGTCGTTGGGACGAAGTCGATAAAATACTTAAAGAAATGGAAGAGCAAAGGATCTCCCCAAATGTTCATACATTTAGTATATTAGTGGATTCCCTTTGCAAAGAAGGTAAGGTTAAAGATGCAAAAGGTGTCTTCAACTTAATGATCCAAGAAGGCAACGTTCCCAATGTAGTGATATACAATTCACTTATTGATGGGTATTGTTTGCGAGGTGAAATGAGCAAAGCAAGGGAAGTTTTAAATTTGATGGGGTCTCGAGGTCTGTTGCCTAACGTTGTTACTTATAGTAGTTTAATGAATGGGTATTGCAAGAAACTGAAGATAGAAGAAGCCATGGATTTGTTTCATGAAATAACTAAAAAAGGTGGTATGCAACCGAATGTGATCACTTACGGTATCATGATACAGGGATTGTTTCAAGCTGGACGTTGTGAAGATGCATGCGAACTCTTTAATGAGATGCGAGCACACAAACTGATTCCAGATGAAACCACTTACATAATAGTCTTGAAGGGTCTATGAAACAACAAACAAGTGGATGAAGCACTAACTTTATTTCATCTGAATGGGGCGAATAAGATAAAATCGGATATTGCTATGTATAATATACTTATTGATGGTGCAAGTAAAAGTGGGAAGTTTGATATTGCAAGGAACCTTTTCAATGACCTAACTGTTAAAGGTTTGCAACCGAATGTTTGGACATATAATACAATGATCAGTGGTTTTTGTCGGGAAGGATTAGTGAGTGAAGCAAAAGAGTTTTTTCTTAAGATGGAGGAAAGGGGCTGCCAGCCGGATAGTGTGACTTACAATGTTCTTCTCCAAGGAATTTTAAAGTATGTTCATCATGATATGGTAGAGATGCTTTTCCTGGAAATGGAAGGAAAAGGCTTCTCACTTGATGCTTCAACTGTATCAATGTTACTTGATCATATAAAAGCTAGATCTTTAGATGCTTCTTTGCTTAAGCTGATTGGTAAGCTTGTGCCAAAGGAAGAAGTGGATGCTTCTTGTTTTACTGTGTAGATGGCTTCTTGGTTTTCTAAGAGGGTATGGTTTAGGCCATCTTTGGTCTGCAAGTTTGTTATCATTTAGTTATTTCTGTTTGCCAATATTAAGTTCATCATTATTATGGCTAGTTCTTCATTGTTATCTATTTACTTTTCTCATCTTATGTCCCATTTATGTTCAACTTCACATTAAAATATGCAGCCTGTTTATGTTACTTTTTAATATCTACTCAATACTTATTTAGAATCAATAACTGTTTCTCGAAATGAAAAGCCTAAATAACGATAAGCTCAAAAGTCAAAACAATTTAAGCATTTGGTGTTCAAGATAAGTTTCATGTCATTTAAACATACGAATAATATGTATTTAATTCTTTGCATAAAAAAATACAATATTCCATTGTGAGACGTCAAATTAGTTGCAATTATCGTTCTTTCTATTTGCTAAAACCTTTTCATTCGTATCCACCGAACAGGTTTAAGTATGAAGTTTACATACAAGATAACATAAAACCACTTTTTGGTATTCCCATAACAATATGAATCCTCTGTTTTTGTAACTTCTAAATAACCACTTTGCAAGATTAAACTGTTGGTTCTGGGATCATATTGACAACAAGGAAATGGTTCAACTTACTTGCAGTGGTAACTTTTGAATGTTAAGTCCCATATATCCTTGACAGCTACATGTTGTTCAGCTATACTTTGATTGCACTTAAAAAAGAATTAGGGATGCATTCGACAGTAAAATGAATAATAAATGGTTGCATTAAAAATTTAACTATGGTTGATTCAATGAAGAAGCTTTCAGTGTTACTGTTTTCTCAAGTTTGGATAATACAAAAATACATTAACTAAAATGCTATTTAATGTTGATGTTTTAATTCAAGGTAAAAATGTTTGAGAAGCAAAAAGTTAGATATTTCAGTAAAAAAAAAAGTTATCATTGTTCCTCAAAGTTTGATTTAATTTTGGGTGAAAAACGATGCACAAAATGTAGATGTTGATAACATCTAGGGAGTAAATAATTATTGTGAATTAATTCACGTATTGCAGTAAAAAAAGATAAATGTTGTTGTTCTTCAAACTTTAACTAATAAGTTGTCTGGGGATTCGTCCATAACGTTTAGAAGATAAAAAACCACCTTAAAATCGATTCTTTTAAAATGACAAAGTTTTTTATAAAAAATAAAAAATAGACCAAAAGTGTGAAGGTCAACAAAATCCAATGACCATTTACGTATAATATGACTTTAACAATGTTTCGTATAAAAGGTCACTGATTATGACTTTAACTATGATGAGATAACTTTCCCTATATTAAGATATTAATTAATATATGTATCCAATTGATGATGGTTGCTTTATAAATGTTTGATATGATTGAGATCAGGTGCATATTGAACGGGACATTGGAGTATTACGAAATAGTTTCCATATCTTCGGATATTAACCAAATCCAACTGATGATGAACATGAACTCAAAATCATTATTTTAAAAATGTTTCGTATAAAAAGTCAGTGATTATGTACAAATTATATTAAACAGGACATTCTGGAAATATAATATCTTTAAAAAATAACGCCTACATATTATACAGGTAGACCGTTATGGACAAAAAGTCAAAAACACCCCTGCAGGTTTTTTTTTTACAAAATTAAGATTCCTAAAAGATACACGCAACCAGTTTTTTTTTTTACCCAGTTTAGCCTGATAAAACAAAACCAGTCTAAAACAAAACGAGGTCAATAACACGAGCTCTTCCGTTCTTCGTTGTAGGCCAGTCCCTTTTAATGGTGAATCCAAGTAGTCGAAGCTCGTATTTGAAGATTGTTTTGGGGCTTCCAGCGAAACCAAAACACGTTGTTTCTTCTGTCGTCTCTCATCCCCTCAACAAGTTCAAAGATACATCTTTGGCAACGGAATATTTACCCCCCAAAACGATTTCAGCTCGGTTTCTTTCAACATCTTCTCGTAATCGTCAAACACCAGTTAATCATTCTCGGTCTATAGGTGAGAAGATTACTAACCTTGATGATGCCCTCCAACTGTTCGATGAAATGACTAAGAGGAAACCTCTTCCCGCAGTTTTCAAATTTACCGAATTATTGCAAGCTGTTACCAAAATGAAACAGTATTCTTGTTCGGTTGAGCTTTTTAAACGAATGAATGCCCTTGGTGTTCCTGTAAATGCCTACACTATTAGCATTGTGATCAAGTGCTGCTGCCAAATGCACTGCACAAATGAAGGATTTGCAGTCTTAGGCTATGGCTTCAAACACAATATATTACCAAATGTCTGCACCTTTAGCACCCTCTTAAATGGACTTGTCCTAGAAGATAGAGTTATCAAAGCCGAAAGGTTATTCAAGAAGCTGATCAAAGAAGCACTTTGTGAACCTAATGCAATTATGTACAGCATTATGATTAAAGGACTTTGCAAATCTGGTAACAATGATACAGCCATTGCTTTGCTTAAACTAATGGATGAAAAGGGTTGTAAACCTAATGTGGTCACATATAACACCATCATTGATAGCCTTTGCAAGGACAAAATGGTAGATGATGCTTTAAACCTCTTCAAAGAAATGGTCTTCCACAAAGGCATATTACCTGATGTTGTCACTTACACCTCTTTGATTCATGGCCTTTGTAACTTATCTCGTTGGGATGAGATCTCTAAATTGCTCAAAGAAATGGAGGACGAAAGGATCTCCCTAGATGTTAAGCTCTATAATACATTAGTTGATGCACTTTGCAAGGAAGGTAAGGTGGAGGATGCAAATTGTATTATCAGCTTAATGATAGAGAGATGGGAGTATCCTAATGTTGTGACTTACAATTCAATCATAGATGGGTACTGTTTGCAAGGTGAAATGAGCAAAGCAAATGAAGCTTTTGATTTGATGGGGTCTCGAGGTCTGGTTCCTAATATTGTCACATATAATAATTTATTGAATGGGTATTGTAAGAAATTGAAGATAGAAGAGGCCATGCATTTGTTTCATGAAATAACTAAAAAAGGTATGAAACCAAATGTGATCACTTACAGTATCATGATACAGGGATTGTTTCGAGCTAGACGTTGTAAAGTTGCACATGATCTGTTTCATGAGATGCGAAAAAACAAACTGATGCCAAATGAAAGCACTTACACAATTGTCTTGAAGGGTCTATGCAACAACAAACAAGTGGATGAAGCATTATCGTTGTTTCATTTGATGGGTGACAATAAGCTAAATTCGGATATTTTTGTATACAATATACTCATTGATGGTGCAAGTAAAAGTGGGAAGTTTGATATTGCAAGGAACCTTTTTAATGAACTAACTTTTAAAGGTTTGCAACCTAATGTTTGGTCATACACTGTGATGATCAGTAGTTTTTTTCGGGAGGGTCTTGTGGGAGAAGCAAAAGAGTTGTTATTTAAAATGGAAGATAGTGGTTGCTCACCAGACAATGTGACTTACAACGTTCTTCTCCAAGGAGTTCTAAAGAACAAACAATATGATACTGTAGAGATGCTTTTAAAGGAAATGGAAGCAAGAGGTTTCTCAATTGATGCTTCAACTATAGAAATGTTACTTCATTATATAAAAACTAGTTGTTTAGATTTTTCTTTGCTTAAGTTGATTGGTAAGCTTGTGCCAAAGGAAGGATTGGATGATCCTTGTTTTACAGTGTAGATGTCATCTTGCTTTTCAAAAAGGTATGGTTTAGGCCATCTTTGGTCTGCAAGTTTGTTATCGTTTAGTTATGTTTAGTTATTTTTGTTTACTAATATCGACCTCACCTTTATTTTGGCTTGTTCTTAAGTGTTGTCTATTTACTTTTTTCATCCTATGTACTTCACATTAAAATATGCAGACTGTTTATGTAACTTTTTAATATCTACTCAATACTTACTTAGTGTTATCTACCGTCTCTTGAAATGAAAAGTCTATAGATTTGAACTTTTGATTATAATTCAATCCTTTAACTACTAGAACCATAAGGTCAGGACACAATAGGCATTTGGTGTTCAAGATAATTAAAACTATTGGTGTTGGTCATTTACACTTAGTTTCAAACGTATTTAATTCTTTGCATAAAAATTTGGTCCAAGTGATAGAAAGTTTTTTACAATCCGAAGGTATTGAGAACCAAAAAAAAAAAAAAAAAAACAAATTAGTCATGGCAACACATATATTGGATATTGAATTCAAATGTATCAAGATTCATCTTTACTAGGAGAATGGGTAGGAAATGTTGTCTTTATATTATGTCATTAACTTCAACAATGGGTTTATGTTGGAACATGGTTACGAAATGGTCTTATTTGGTCATTTTCTAGCTTCTTGTTTCCACTATAAACAATATGATTTTTATGTTTTAGTTGTTTTAACTTATAAACAATATGATTTTTATGTTTTAGTTGTTTGATTAACCATTATAGGCTTAATTAAAAATGGTTTTGTTTTGGTCATCTTCAATGTTACTATATACTTTTCAATTAACCATTTATGATAATCAAACATGATTAAACAATGATCCATCCCATTTTCATTTTAAATTACCATATGTCATTACAATCATAAGAATTAAATAAATGGTTAATTGCATAAAACATACTAAGTTTATACAAAATTCGATTTTAACATTGTGTTATTTTTCTTTATAATTAAAACACCAAGTTTTTTAAAAAATAGTAAGTTTGGCACTATATTTTCTCATTGGTTTCAATGTTGACAATTTGAATGGTCAACCTAGTTGTCAACTGACGTGTCGGTCTTTGATGACGTGATGTTGGCATAAGATGATGATGTGATATTTTTTTTGGTGACACTACTTTTTTGGTATCAAAATTGAGAAATTAAATAAAATGTAGTGACTTAAGTGAAAGAAAAACACAGTGTCAAAATCAAGCTTTTCTGAAAACTTTGTTTTTTGTGCAATTTTCCCTTATTAAACATAATACACACTTCCGGACTTCCTTACCATCCATATCCACCCCTTTTGTTCACCACCTACCTGTTTCGACACCACCACTTCCATCCTCGCCTAGTTCATTATTAAACCAATAAACAAGAACAATGAAGGCATTCCTCACATCTGATGATTAAATTTCAGAAATCAAAGACTACCCCCTTTCACTATGGAAAAATGACATACAGTCACACTTTTTCATATGAAAAATATTATGTAGCCAAAAGGTAATAGATATGGTGACATGAATTGTTCGTGTGTCCATGTCATGCTTTCTTTTATTATTGATTAAATGAAAATAGTGTAACTATAAGTATTTTATGGTCACTTTTACGTTATGTTGTGTGTCTAAAAAATAGTCTTATTAAAAGAAGAAAATATGACATTGAGTATGTAATGGTCATTGTTTTATTTATTATGTATGTATAATAGCAAAAAGAATTATATTAATTATTAACTACATAACAAGTGACTAAAACTATTTTATTTCCATATTTAGAACAAAACATATGAATATAAAGTTTTATGGTCTCGATATAATGTTTTATGTATGTATAAAAGTAAATAATAGACATGATAAAATAAAAAAGATATAATTGTTATTGTTTTATGGATTGTGTTGGTATATGTAAACTTTACTGTATAGGTGAAGGGTAATCTTGTAAAACCATATACATTTGTTTTGTGCACTCAAAATATATAATACGTGCAACAAGGCACTTCAAAATCTCACCTTGCACCTTTATGCGGTCAATTGATCATGTAATCAAAATATATAACAGTTAATCAAACTATATAAGTATATCATGTTTGTATATCATTTTTCTTATTAATGCAACACAATTTAGAAACACTATCTAATTATAGCATTGAGCTTAAAAGGTTTTCACCATCTATACAATATATAAATGTCAATATAAACTATTTTTTGGAATTATATATAAGAAAACCTTTGGTTTTCTTTAAATATGATACATCAACACCAAAGATGAATCCATAAAATGAATCAACATTCTTGCCATGATTTGTGCTTTATATCAATTACATGTGTGTGTTTTGGTGGAATGACACAGGGATTTATGGCCCTAATCAAGATCTTTAAAACAAATATATTTGGTTTATTATCTAATTTACAAATAATAGCAACATAGAATATACATTGTCACTGATCTTGTGGCTGAAAAGAGTACATAAATGGTCCCTATGCTAAAAACAATTATAGAAATGGATGTTTTTAAAAGTTTACCCAATGTATGAATTATGATTAGGTTCTTATAACGATGGAGGGTATCCATGTTTATATGTATAAGCAAATCATATCCGAGTGCTAAAATCATCAAACTATGATCCAAAATAGCATTACCCGGAACCAATTAGTGTGTGGCAATTTACATTATCATTATTAGATGGGATGAGACAAATATTCACTAATACATGTGATCATATTCATTCAATTGTATTGACCATTTATCAATCTTTTAAAAACCATCTTGATGATCCATCATATTTTCAAGATAAAGTTATTTTGGTCCCAACAAATGAAGAGGTCGATGTTATCAACAACTATATGTTAGGATTGATGAAAGATGAAGGAAAAACTTATCTGACTTCAAGTTCTTTATGTGAAATAGAGTCAACAGATTGTTTTGAGGAATCAATTTACTCTCCAGATGTGTTGAATGCTTTTAAGACATGAAATTCTCAATCATAAACTTACACTAAAAATAGGTGTTCCAATTATGTTGCCTCGTAAATATCGACCAAACCAAAGGTCTATTCAATGGTACTGGGTTACAAATTGTTAGGCTTGGAAAACATGTCATTGAGGCATGGATTATAGCTGATAGATTCTTCAATGAGACTACTTATATACCTCGCATGAAGTTAACTCCGTCTGATAAAAAAATCCCCTTCCATTTTTAGCGGAGGCAATTCCCCATATTTATTTTTTTGCTATGACCATTAAAGAGAGTCAATGACAGTCATTATCAAATATTGGATTGTATTTGTGTAGACTCGTCTTCACTCATGGTCGGTTATATTTAGTTGTTTCTCACATGACAAGTAAAAAAAGACTTAAAGGTACTTATATGTACTTATATGTGACGATGAAGATCGTCCAACTAATAAATCAAAAATATGTTGTCTACCAGAAGGTACTTCAACAATTACAGATAATCTGACATCTTATTTTATTTTTTAGACATTCAGTATAATCAATAACGCGAAGTCTCTTTATGTTACTTTATCTTATTTTTTTATTGTGTCGACTTTTTATGATTTTATATGTTTTTTTATACATTTCCCCACGTAAGGTCATAATCTAGTTTCCTCTAAACTAAATAATAAGATTTCCATTTTTTTATAGCTTACACTATAACATTAATACCAAAGATGTTTCTTGATGATTGTTTGACTATTTTTAATTCTACTATTTCATATAAAATTCTGAATATATATATCTTTATAGCGTGTTTTGAATGTAAAGACCCACCTTATCTTCATCATCTAAAACAACTCTAAAGAGCTTGTCCAAGTCCCATGAGTACAATACAATCAACTTCCATGTAACAAATGCAACCTAACAGTGAACCACTTTCATAAACTATAAATAAAAGCATATGTTGCGATTGTAATTTTAATGAACAAAAGGAATATATAGAAAAGAATCTTACAATATAAAATATATAATTTTACAATATAAGGATTTGAACCTATAGCATAGAAGAAGATAAAAGAAGGGGAGGATTCAAGGCAAAAGGCGATATGGTAAAAAATAGTGTCTGAAAGAGGTTCATGCCACCTCTCTTCCACTTAACATATTAAGACATTTTGTATGTATTAACTATTAAGTCAAACATAAACAATACTCTATATCTCCCCGAATTAAGTATTGTCCTCATTTCTTTAGGTCCATTAAAACTTCATATCACAAAACATAACAATAAAATAACCTCTTGTTAAATTACCAATAATCTCCACAAGAACATTCACCTTCTTTAAAATGATGAAACCTACTAGCATCACGAACAATAATCTCCCTTTTTTTAATTGCCGATATATACTTAATAGCAACATGACAATCATTACACACCCGTAAATTCTTCATAACCCTAATCGGAACACAATCCGGTGTATTCATTAAAGCAAAAGCAATTGCCAATTTCTCACTATGATGAACCAAATCATCTTCCTTTTCCTCAAGATCCATATCATGCAAAACGGACCCCATATCCGGTTTATACCCTAATAACTTCATCTTTAAAGTAAGTTTTTTCAAATAAAGATCGATTTTTTTCGAATCTTTATGGGATTTATCACTCATACAAAATTGATGAACCTCGTTTTTCATCTCAAACCAACTTACACCGGGTTCCTTTTTTACCCCTCTATCTCTCATCTCCTTTCTAAAATCCGACACGTTTTCCCATTTTTTAGCGGATGCTTGTATGTTGGAAAGTAGGATGTATGATGCTGAGTCATTAGGGTTGACTTTAATGACTTCTTGACCGATTCTTTTTGCCATGTCAGCGTTTTTATAAATTCTACACGCGGACAAAAGGGTTTTCCATATAATCGAATCCGCCTTCATGGGCATAGTTCTAATGACATTTTCCGCTTCTTCTAAATGACCAAATCGCCCTAGGAGATCAACTAAACAAGTGTAGTGTTCTAATTGAGGCTCTAATTTGTACTTTTCTTTCATCAAATGGAAAATTTCAATCCCTTTGTCTTTCAATCCACAATGACTACAAGCATAGAGTAAACTCAAAAACGTGACATTATTCGGTTCTAATTTTTCTTTTTCCATTAAATTAAATAAATCAAGCGCCTTTTTTCCCATTCCATGAAACCCATAAGCTGCAATCATTGAACTCCAAAGTACAGTATCTGGGATTTTTGTTTCTGAAAATGCTTTTAGAGAATCTTGAATACACCCACATCTTGAATACATGCTAACTAAGGAACTAAGGACAGAAACTGATGACGTGGCACCGGATTTTATTGACTCTGCGTGAATCTGTTGACCTTGACCAAGTGTTGCTAACTGGGAACATGAACTTAGTATGCTTACGAATGTGATTTTATCTGGTTTAAATCCTGACATTTTCATTATGTAGTATTGATTTAAAGCTTCTTCTGAAGATCCACTTTGAACTCTTCCTGTGATAAGTGTGTTAAAAGCAACTACAGTATGAAAGGGCATGGATTTTATCACCTTTTCTCCTTCTGATAAACTTCCAGATTTGATATACATGTGAGCAAGTGAACTCCCTACAATCACATTAACTTGGGCTCCTGTTTTAACTGCATAGGCATGAACCTGTTGGCCAGAAGTTAAGCTTTTTAAGCCAGCACATCCACGAAGAACACTGCCATTGATGAGTTCTAGATGTAAGAAAGGCATAAACTTTTCAAAAAGGTGGAAAAGAAACCAAGAATTGATTATTGATCTCACCTGCCAAGAGTAAATTCATCGGGATAAAACCCCAAAACGTGCATCTCCGAGAGAAGTCTCAAAGCTTCCTCATTACATTCAAAATCGGTGAAACCTGCAATCAAGGCATTCCATGTCGCGATATTTCTTTCGGGCATTTCATCGAACACTTTGCGTGCTGTATCCAAGTCGCCACTTTGCACAAACCCTCCAATCAATATGTTATACGACATGATGTTTTTCTTGGGCATTACGTCGAACAATGAGTGGGCAGTCTGTGATTGACCGAACTTCAGGTAAGTATTGAGGAGGTGGTTGGTGACGAACCTGGTTGAAGAACACCCGGACGTGATTATCAACGAATGGAGTTGTTGAACAAGTGAGAGTGAGTTCAGTTGTATGCATGATTTGAGGAGGTGAGAAACGAGAGATGGATCAGAATATACTTCGGAACTGAAGGTCTTGAATGCTTCAGTGATTCGACCTTTTGAACAAAGGTGTAGAAATTTTTCTGGAGGTGGTTTTGATGGAGGATATTTAATGGTTCTTGTGGTAGTAGAATAAAGGCGCTTGATGGAGTTTAAACCGACATTGGTGAGCTTTTGAAGGTATAACTTGTCCATGCATCAACATACCAACTCTACAAGAAACATTGGTTAAATCCTAAAAATAGGTATTTTTAATGACTTTGAAGTTGCAAATTGTACCTCAAAGATTGAAGGAATGTAGTAGAGATCTTCAAAGCGAACAACATCTTGGAGGCTGTTTGTCTTGGATAGCTTTTAGCTTAAAAAGCTCAAATAAAAATAAAAATAAAAATAAAAATCGATTTGATTTACGAGCTTAAAAAAAGTTTCAAATCAAAAGGCAGTTTCAATTTATAGGAGCTTTTATCTTTTATATTTTATATTATTTTCCCCATCTTACAAATGTAGAACTACTTTTTCCGAACACTCTCAGACTATTTTTTCCGAACACTCTCACACAACTAAGGTGTTGTTTGTTTTTCTATAAAAACATCTTCAAACCACTTATTGTTGTGCGGCGCAACACATGCGCAACACTTTTCCTCTCGCAGCAATTTGTTTTTTGGAAGACTTCATAATACAAAACCTCTGCGCGTGTGTTGCGTGGCGCAGCACTTGATTTGCCTCTTCTAACCTCTCCAGCTTTCATTTTTTCTAAGTGTGTTTTAAGAATGTTTGTATAACTTTTTTTTTTAAACTTTAATTTTCTTAAATTTTATTTACGGATGTGATACAATTTATTTATATAATTTTCACGATTTTTTTTAACTTGGTTTTTTTTTTATTTTTTTTACCGTTTTATTAATAATATTTTCAGTTTCAGTTACATCTTTTTTAACGTGTGTAATTTTTTACAAACTTTGTAGACAACGTTTGCAATACTTTCTTAATTTTTTTGTTATTTTCTTTTTTAATGTTTTTTAAAATTAGCTTTTTTTTTTCTAGAATAAAACTACTAGTTTTTTTTTTACATTTTTTTATGTTTTTTTTTAAAAAAAAGTTATATATTTTTGTTTTTTTACATGTTCTTGTTATTATTATTTCAATGTTTTAAGATTAGAATTATTAAATTTCAGTGTTGAGAACTATGTTCAGTTTATTTAAATTTTAGTTTACTGCAGCAGTCTGCAGATGTTAAAAAACAAATATGCTTCTTATTATAGGCTGCAGTCGTTTGTTCCACCTCTTCTGCTACAGAGGATTGCAGAGGTGGTCTGCAGACTTCATGAATTTTCACTTCGAAAAAACAAACAGCACTTAAGAGTTATGGCTTCTAACTTCCAGCTTTCGGCTATGTGTGGTTTTGCCAAAGAGATTCAAGAATAAACTCTTTGACCAAAATTTGAAGTTCATATTGCATTCATCTACATGAAGAAGTTTGATCTAATATAAATAAAGGATTTATGGTTTTCAATATGAAAATTCATATTTATTGCTTCGTTTATCTTTCATCTAAGTATATATATGAGAGATTGTCAGTGAGGTATGAACAACAATGCTCAAATCATGTATGAATCATATTAAACAGATATAGGAAGTTGTATATCCACCATCCACCTAATGATAAAGAGACTTTCCATAAATAACAGTATAAGCTGACATAAGAAATAAAAGCCCACAATGGTTCAGCCATAAGTGCTTATAATCCAGAATAAAAGAAGTTTCACTTAAAAAGTATGGTTTAACTATTGCTTATATAAAACTATTCAACATAAAGCAAAAAAAAACTCCCAACTACTCCTATCACCTTCTCCATACCTATACATGTAACATGTTACAACAACACCATTACAAATTACAATTACACATGATTATTCAAATTTAACTAAAAACCTTAAGCTTCCCGACTTCTCAACACCAAAAAACCCAAAGTCCATTTGGCCCTTCAAACAGGAAGCAATGAAAAACCATGAGAATAACCATTTTATTTTTTAATTAAAAAAAAAAAAAAAGAAACACCATAAACTGCCCGGATCTCAACAACTGCCCATCAAGAAACAGTTACTCCCGCCCGAACTGCCCATCCCAAAAGTAGCATCTCTCACAAGAAACTTAACATTTCGAGTCCCAAGAAACTCCAAAATCTCCAAACACTCGATCCAATCCGATTCACAAACCAACAAAACCCATTCCTCTTCATCATCTTTATACTTAAGCTGAAAAGTCCCTCTTTCTATCTTAAACCTTTTCCCAACTTCTTCATACAGCTGAAACCATCCAGACAAAGGATCATACTTAAACCTAACTGTATCTTCTTTATATGTAGCCTTTACAGTTATCATCTTATTATTATTATTACTATTATTATTATTATTCCCTTCATCTCCAAACAACATTTCGTTTTTCGGTGATTTAAAAATCGGAGAACTCGATGAACTTCCATTCATCATCGACCCATTTGACGAATCCGTCATGCTGGAAGAAGTTGATTGGTTGGATTTTTCCATGTCATCACACGTGTCCATGTCATCACACCCCGAGCTTTGATCCGGTTTCGAAAACGTCCATGGAGTTTTCAAACTGTTTATAGAGTTTGTCACGATCGGGATGGAAGTTGACTTGTTGACTATCGTGTATGATTCATCTTCAACTTTGACTGATTTTTGCGTGTCTTGGTTGACCGGGTTGACCGGGTTTGCGGGTACGAGTCCACCGGTTGTTGGGTCGAATTTTAACCCGCCTTCCACTCCTTGTACTGAGTCGAGAACCGTTTGTATTTTTTTTAACGAACGGTTTACTTTATTTATTTTTCGCGATGGCCATCGGGAAATCCCGTGTTGTCTGCATATCCTTTTCAGTGTAGTAGGACAAACTACAAAACAAAAACCGATTTTCATTGTTGTTTAAATATTATTATTATTATTATTATTATTATTATTATTATTATTATTATTATTATTATTATTATTACCTCCAATTGCTTTAGCAGCATCCTTAAGGCTCCCAGAAAAGTATTGTTGTAGAACACTTAAACTAACATTCTTCTCTGCTGTACTTCGCTTTTTCTCTGATTGTCTCCTTGATCCACCAACCATCTACAAGTCAACACAACATTTAAGTCAACATATATATATATATATATATATATATATATATATATATATATAATTAAAAAAGTAATATTACCTGATCGGGTGGACGAGGTCCAATCCTAACATCAACAGATTCAGTGGCATTAACAGAAACTTGATCAGCAGGAATCAAACTCCCCTCAACATATTTCTTCTCAGAAGAGCTTCTTGATACCTCAAGTGGCAATGAGCTTTCATCTACCCCCATCTGAAACCCAGCATCTACCCCACCCCCACCTACCCCTGACAATTCATTTTCCGAAACTGTCCTCAAACTCCTACAAATCCTCTGCATAGTCCCGGATAAATTATTCAACAAAAGTTGTTGTTCTGTTGAGCCTTTCATGTTAACAGGAAGAAAAAACTCCAAGATATAATCATCATCACCAGTGTAAGTACTCCTGAGTCTAATTGCAACAGCAGCATTTAGGCCAAATTTTCTTGCATGTTGGACAAGTGGGTATTGGCGAATATCGTAGTCTTTCACATCAGGGTAGAAAAAAGGGTGATTTGATTGAAGGGCTTTTCCGGCAATTCCTTGTCCTTCTTCAAGGTGATGTTCACTGCATGCTTGAATGAAGCCTTGCATTTCTCGTTCGTTGACGTAACAGGCGTCGGTTTGGATGCAGAGGATTGGTTTTTCTGATGAATTGAAATTACGTTTTCGCCCTCCGACACGTACTTTTATGGTTTCGTCATGGAGTTTTTCGTTGTAGCTACATGGGATCCATGTTAGAGCAACGGGTAGTCTGTGTGCATGGCATACTGCTCGAAGAACATCGGTTATTTCGGATAGTGCAGCCATTTGGTTTTTTGAGAGGCACTGCAAAAATGATGATCCAAGAAAAAATCAAGACTTAACATAAGGGTAAATTGGTCATTTGCTCCTATGGAACTATGTGAGTTTATCAACATTTCACATTCAACTTGATCCTATAATGCAACATAGTATATGGAACTAAGCAGCATAGTGGACTACATGCAAAAGAAACACAAGGGTAAAATGGTCATTTATACTTTTTTGACTGTTTAAGAAAGAAAGTTTTCTGGCTTTCCCGGATCTGATATCAGGGAAAAATAATATAAAAACATGGATTCGAGTTCATTAATTATCTCAAGAAAGAAAGAAAACATTTCATAGAAAATTATCCAGATTTGAATTGTGCTCAAGAAGGGTTTAGTTGGGTTTCGTAAGAAATACTACATTGGGATAATTTAAACAATTTGACATTATATATACAAAGGAAATCTATTTAACCTTGTAATAAAATCTATCCAGAATATAAAATCCAGCCTATTCATCAAATACCTGCTTATATAGTCGAGGAGGTGCAACACTTTTCAGGTTCACACTCTGCAAAGATTTAAAAAAAAACAGAGGTTATAATTTTACAACAGTATAGATTCACAAACTCTGCAGAAAACAAGAAATCAAGACTACGTGCATGATCTTTTACAAGAAAAGATTAATAACACAGTTGGTTTACCAAAGGATTAGAGTAACTGCACTAAAGAAACAAAAGAAATAGTAACTGCAAACATATTCTTTCTATGAGTAACAAAAAGTTTACCTCAAGAGCACGTGAAACATGATCCATCTCTACACTGAAATCAGCCTTCTCTTTCATTGTAACAAGTTCAAGAACAGCACAACAAGATGTATCATAGGAGTCATCTTCAAAAATAGGTAGAGCAATAGATCCTCGGACTTCATGACTAAGTGCATGATCTTTTCGCAAGTATTCACCTTTATTATAGTGAGAAACATTTGAAGTCCACTCAGGAACTTTTGAGCTGAAAACCCTACCTGGAAGCCCTAAAAAGCCACCAGGTTTCACTTCAGCTGAAAACGTGAAGCCTCTGGAAACTTCTCGATATCCAGCCAGCATCTGATCAAGCAAATAAGGCTGTTCACAAGTGCTTAATATATACTTATCACCTTCCATAATTGGAACCCAAACTTGAGCCAAGATCCCTGCTCCAGATGAATCTTTGAACAAAGACAATGCTTTCAGCATCTTTTCAGCAAGGGGTCGACCACCTGGTGACCTATGGATGATACCATTTCCATTTGCTTGAATGTTTTTCTGTTGACAAGAACTTCCATTTCCATTTTCATCAGATGAATTCACAGGTATGGTGAACTGGGTGTCTGGGGTAGGAAAGGATACTCTTTCTCCACCATTAATTTCTCCATCAGTTGGGAGAAAACCGGATTTGACTTGTTCTGTGAAGTTTGTGTAATCATAGGGTGCATAGCCGGCTGATAGGGCAAAAGATGCTAACATCTGATCAGCTGCTGAAGGACTTGTACACCACCCAGCGTAAGTATCAAAGTTCATGAGCTCAGAGAAGCTGTTGAATGGGTCGTCTGGCCTTGTGAAACCATCCATAGACGCAGGATTCTCCATCTGAGGTCTCGGAGAAGCCCAGAAACCCATCGGCTTATCTTTTGGTGGGGAAGGGAATTCCATTTTGAAAATTTTTCACAGCGAAACTAGAATTCCTACATCTGCTAGTTTCAGTCTTGCAAGACTCAACGATAATACGATCCCAGAGTTTTTTTTATCTCGATGTCACCAAGTCGTAATATGTGTCGGAGACTCAAATTCAACGAAGCTAACACGGCAGACGAAAATCAAATACTAATCGGTGCAGAAGCCAAGTGATTTCTGAAGATATTTAAAGGGGAATAAGTACAAAACAAACCTGGGATGGAACAAATTGGCCTCTTCCAGCTGCGAATTGCGGAAAGCCACAGATGTTCATATCAATAACACAAATCCAATCTCAGATTCATGACTTTTACTGGCTGAAGAATCCAAGAAATGACCAAACATACAACCAATCAATGAAATAGTAGTTTAACTATTAAGGAAATTGAATTTTAATAGTTGGCAAGCAAAAAAATACCAAAACTAAGGAACCCTAAACTGTAAAATTGAATCGATATCTGGTGCTTATAGCTTGCAAAATTACCGACCATTACCGACCAAAGGAAGTTGACAAAGAAGCGAGTTGAAAACCTCGAAACTATGCGAACCCCAGACTCCGAGAGAAAGAGGATTGCTCTGAAATGGCTACGGGAATTGAGAAATGAGGTGGACTCATTCCAAAAATAGAATGTGCACGTCAGAACAACAGAAAACTATTTTACTACCGCCTATAAAAGGAAGCAGGCTTTGTTGTGTTGCCCTTTTACAATTTACACCACAAACACAAACGGTTGTAATCATTGGTTTTATTTTTGGGAAAAACTAAAAGTTCAAAATCTGATTATTATCGAGCAAGCATAGAAAGTTGAAACTTGGAACTATTAGGCATGGGCGAGTGGGTTCGATATTGAATCGACAAAAGCTAGGCATCCTGTCTTTATGCTAAACTCAGGATGGTAACTCATTAACGGAGATAGTGGTTTCACTAATAATGATATCTTCGTAAATCTTAAAAAACATTGGGTTGTGCTCTTTTTAGCAAAAATCATCAAGGATATGGAAGTCAAGTTGAACATATCTGTTAGATAGAAAACAGATGTTGAGTGTGTTCGATCTCATGCTAATGACAGCCAATATATGTTTCTTGTGAAATACCGTACTATCTTTCGATACTGCCTTGTGATTCCTTATTCCTAAAGAAAAGAAAGTGAATTGCAAAAACAGTTTTAATCAAAATAGCTCTTTGATTAATGAGAAACTTGCTCAAAACTCAATTGTTTACAATTGCTATCTTATGCCCTAACACGGCTATGACAGTGTTTATATAAGATCTAATAACCGACTTGCTATTAGATTAGAATTAGGAAACATGGCCAACTTGCCATATTATTGATTGTTTGGTCTCCAAGGTCCTACGTGACTTAGGATTCCAACAATCACCCCCGAATCTCTAAGTCTTTCTAGAGAATTCTTCAACCCCGATCAAGCTCCGCATCTCCTTGAACTTGGTTCGAGCTAATGGTTTCGTAAGAATCTCTGCCCTTTGTTATTCACAGGGAATGTATTCCACCTCCACTTGTTCCTTTTCAACACAATTACGAATGAAGTGAAACCTCGTGTGAATGTGTTTACTCCTTCCATGAAAAACGGGATTCTTCGTTAGTTCGATAGCCGACTTGTTATCAACTCTAAGAATCACTTTCTCTTGTGTTTTGTTCATGATTTCTCCAAGCAAATCTTGAAGCCATATTGCTTGACATGCACTCGTTGTGGCTGCCATGAACTCCGCCTCGCAAGATGATAAAGCAACAGTATCTTGCTTTTGTGAACACCATGTAATTGGTGATGACTCATAGTAGAAAATGTGATCGGTTGTGCTTCTTCCGTCATCCGGGTCAACATTGTGACTACTATCACTATAACCAATAAGCCGCTTTTGTCCCATCCTCTCGTACTTAATTTCGTATCACGATGTTCCTCGTAAGTACCTTAGAATGTGTTTGATTGCACCACCATGTGACTCTCTTGGACTTTGCATGTATCAGCTAACAACTCCAACCACATATGCCATATCTGGTCTTGTTTGCAAGAGATATCTAAGACATCCTACCACCTTTCGATATTGTGTCGGGTCGATTTTGGGTTCATCTTCGGCCTTTGATAATTTATTTCCTGGTTCCATTGGTATGTGGGTCGGATTACAATCATGTAAACCGACTTCTTTTAAAATGCATTGAGCATATGCTTCTTGGTTTATAGTAATCCCCGATTGTTCTTGCTTAACTTCAATGCCAAGGTAGTAAGTCAATCTTCCAAGATCTGACATCTCAAAGTTCTTTGACATCTCTAATTTGAACCTCTTGATCATGCTCAAATTTGTACCTGTGACAAATAAATCATCAACATAAATTGCTAAAATTAGCAAGTTAGATCCTTCACTTTTTCGGTACACCGCTGGTTTTTTGATGCACTTTTGAAATTTCATATTCTTCAAAATCCCATCAAGCTTCGTATTCCATGCTCGAGGTGCTTGTCTTAGACCATATAGTGCTTTTGTAAGGCTATATACTTTATGCTCGTTGCCTTTCTTTATATACCCTTCCGGTTGTGACACGTAAACAGTTTCTTTTTAATTCTCCATGTAAGAACGCCGTTTTAACATCCAAGTGGTGAAGCTCCCATCCATGAGTAGCTGCTAAGGCTATAAGGAACCGAATGGTTTCAATTCGAGCTACTGGGGCAAATACTTCTTGAAAATCAATACCGGGTTGTTGCACGTAACCTTTAGCAACCAACCTTGCCTTGTATTTATTAATGGTGCCATCTGCATTTTTCTTCAATTTGAACACTCACTTGAGTCCAATTAGCTTCACCCCGATAGGCTTGTTCACAAGAGTCCAAGTATTATTTTTGTTTATCGACTTGATTTCCGCATCCATGGCCTTGACCCGTTCTGGTTCTTTCTTCGCTTCTTCAACCGATACCGGCTTGTCATTGGTTGTTGGAAGGAGTTCTTCGAGATTGTCAAGATCAAGCTCATAATCTTGAAATCGTCTTGGAGGTACTCTTGCTCTCGAAGGTCTTTGGTTTGCATCTCCTTGTTGAACATTGTTATTTACCGGACTTAGTTGTTCATTATCTTGTACTTCCACTCCGTCTCCAATCTCATGACCCGATTCAATTGGATCATTATTTACATCGTTTCCTTGGTTGCTGTTCACATCATCTCTTGGATAGTCCCATGGTATTACGAATGAGCCCGGTTCTTCATTGCTGGTTCCTGCTTCTTTAATCCAATTCCACCCTTTGGTTTCATCAAAAATAACATCTCGACTCACGATTATTTTTTGTGTTACCGGGTTAAATAACCGGTAAACTTTCGTACCCGGTTCGGAACCAACATGTACTAGTGGTCTTGATCTTGCATCCAACTTCTTTAGATTAACCGGTTCAACTTTTGCATGTGCTAGACACCCAAATATACAAACATTTTCTAAATTCGGTTTTCTTTTATACAACTTTTCGTATGGAGTTGTATCATCAAGGACTCTTGTATAAACTCGATTGATTAGATTTGTTGAGTGATTTACTGCTTCTCCCCATAAGTAGTTTGGAACATGCATTGCCTTCATTATATTTCGCTTCATGTCCATAAGAGTTCGGTTTCTTCGTTCCACAATTCCGTTTTGTTGTGGAGAGTATGGGGCGGTGAGATGGCGTTTGACTCCGTTTTGCTCACAAAAAGAATTAAACTCAAGAGAGGTAAACTCACCTCCTCGATCACTTCTAAACACTTTCAAAGGCTTTCCAATTTCATTTTCCACCAAAGCTTTGAATTTTTTGAAGTGTGTAAACGCCTCACTCTTTTCTTTTATGAGATAAATCCACATAAATCGTGAAAAATCATCAATTAGTGTAAAAATATATCTATTTTGACTCTTGGTTGCCGGCGTGATCAGACCGCATAAATCACCGTGAACAAGCTCCAAATGGTTGTTTCGCTTTGTATGTAGTCATGGTTGGGAAGGACTTTCTTGTTTGCTTGCCGACTAAGCACAATTCACATAATTGATTCTCATGATCTAATGCAGTAACCCTTTGACTAAACCCTTCTTGGACAACTTTTTCATCGACTCGAAATTAATATGCCCAAGTCTTGCATGTCATCGCCACGCATCTTCACTTAGTCTCGAATGAAGGAAAATAGGGACTCCAATTTGTAATTTTATTTTATAAAGGCGGTTTGGTGATCTCTGTACTTTCATTAATAAACAATTATCGACATCGTGCATGGTTAAATAGTTGTCTTTCATTCGAATATCACACCCGGCTTCAGTTGCTTGTCCGAGACTTATAATGTTGTTCTTGAGATCCGGTATGTAGTAAATCTCCGTCATCAGCCTTTGTTGACCTTTGTTGACCTTTCTTGCCTTGGAAAAGTATGGCACCTTTTCCCTTGATTTTTACACACGAATTATCTCCAAATTTGACCCTCCCGGTTATGCCTTTGTCAAGCTCGGAGAAAAATGACCGGTTTCCTGTTATGTGATTGCTCGCCCCGTTATCCAAATACCACACATCGTTATCTTGTAAGTCGTATCGAAATGGTATCACCTTTTCTTCGTTAAAAAACACGGTTTCGTGTAAAAAAATACGGCTACATCAGTATCGTCAACTTGGTAAAATTATTTTCTTGTAATTTTTGGATTCGATCTAGACATTGAGACGCGAAGTGGCCCGGTTTATCGCACCTATAACAAATAATTTTTGATCGATCTTTTTTTGTTTTATTTGGGTTATTCTTGGAATTGGGTTGATCAAAATTGGACTTTTTTCCGTGATTGGGCTTGCCACCTTGCGAGGCCCGATTGACATACTTGGACCCACTTGATCCATATGATCCATTTGACTCTCCTACCCCATCAAATCCCCTCGTTCCTTTTCTTTGCGATCTGCGATTGCTCGAACCACCACCACTTGATGCCTTCGTTAACAGCGCTTTCACCTGACCATCTCCATCGTCCTCCTCCTCCCTAATCCTTTCTTCATACGCCTTTAGCTGCCCTACTACATCTTCAAAGCCAACGGTTTTCAAGTCCAGTACCTGCTCTAATGATGCGACGATGTGGATGAATTTTGCCCTTGGTAGTGATTTCAAGAATTTCTTCACCGTTCTTTGTTCATCGATCGATTCACCTAGTGCGGCTGCCTTGGATGCAATTCCAGACAGCTTTCCCGTGAAAGAGTCGATCGACTCCGACTTAGTCATCTTCAATCAATCGAAATCAGACATTAAGGACTGTAATCGTGCCTCCTTCACGCGGTCAGCCCCCATGTGCCTTGATTTGATTGCTTCCCAAAGTCCATTGGAAGATTCTTGTTCACCGATTTGGATTATGAGTTCTTCAGGTATCGATTGATAAATTAAACCTATTGCTAAATCATATTTGTCTTGATTTTTTGTAGTTCCAGGTTCAATTATCTCCCAAGCTTTGTGAATCTTTAATACTACCTTCATTTTCATTGACCACACCGTGTAGTTTGTTGACGTGAGCATAGGACACTGAACAGAGGTTGATCCAATTTCTTTCACCCTCACCGAAGCCTCTCCATCCCCCCTGACATGTTGACCTACTTATCAACAGGTAAGAATTGATCTCACAGCTTCTTGTTTCTAAGGCTTTGATACCAATTAAAGAAAAGAAAGTGAATTGCAAAAACAGTTTTAATCAAAATAGCTCTTTGATTAATGAGAAACTTGCTCAAAACTCAATTGTTTACAATTGCTATCTTATACCCTAACATGACTATGACAGTGTTTATATAAGATCTAATAACCGACTTGCTATTAGATTGGAATTAGGAAACATGACCAACT